TTGAAGTTGAAGCTGAGAAATGATTGTCAATATCTGACACAGTGGTGTGCTTAAAAATTTTTTTTTAATCAAATGAGGAGCTGATACCAAGGGCTCAAGTGGAAAGCAAGTGTTTTGAGAATGATGAGGGCAACAAATGTACAAATGTGCTTGACACAATGGATGGATGTCTGGATTGTGATACAAATTGCACGAGCCCCCAATGAAATGATTTTTAAAGAAAAGAATTGTATGAGCCCCCAATAAAATGATTTAAATAAATAAAAAATTAAAAAATCAACTTCATGGCAGTGGTACGATTTAACAAGTGATGAGAGAAGAAATCTCCAGCTAATGCCTGCACACACACACACACACACACACACACACACACCTCCTACTCACACTGAGAACTAATCGCTTCTTCCTTCAGTGTGCCCAGAGCACTGTTTATAACTAGCTCACATGTTTTCAGTCTGATTTATACTATAATCATATGCCTGTATCTCTCTGTCCTAGACAGTGAACAACATGAGGGCAAAGAATCATCTAATTCACTTCTGTCACTCCCTACAGTGCCTGGCATGGAGAACAGCACCCTCCGCAGCCGTGCGAAAGGCTGCCACAATTAAGAAAGGAAAGTGAGGGACCACTAGAAGTCTTCCTTGAAGCCATTCTGGCAAAATAAAAATAAAAGCAAAAAAGAAAGACGCCGTCTCTTACCTTCCTAACTCAGCTCCACAGCTCACCTGAGCCTCAGCAGCACCCCATGCATAGCCTTGCCTCGATCAAGGTGTGTGTGTGTGTGTGTGTGTGTGTGTGTTGGGGCGGGACATAGAAACCTACATCACTCCTCTGAACCATCACTGAGCAAAAGTCAACTACATGGGCACCGTCTTTCATTTTATAACAAAACCCCACAAGCAGATGCCCTTAAAGAACAGACAGTTTTCCCGGCAGGTTTTCTTTTTGGCTACCTTGCTACCATGTAACAATTGGGGGCATTGCTGAGATCTACACTAGCAGGAATATGGAAGCTACACATTTTCGACAAGCTTGATCTTATTATACTCAGTAACAGTTTGTTTCTGTGCTACTTTTTCAAGAAAAAAGAAAGAACAGAAATGTATTGTCTCCGTTTTGGAAGCCAAAAGTCCAAATAGGGGGGCAGCAGCTCAAGAGCAAGGCTCTTCTCAGCCTGGAGGCGCTGCAGGCAGTCCTCGGTTTTCCTGGGCGGGTGGGTGCATCTGCATACAGCAGGGGACATCTGTCCTTCCTTCTGCCTGTGCTGCCAGAAGGGATGGGGTTTAGGGCCCACCCACTCGGGTAAGAGATCACTAACAAACAAACAAAAGCTTTTGTTCTGAATAGGATCCAGTTCACAGACCCAGGCATTAAGGATTCAATAGATATATTAGGGGGTGGGGAGTGCAATTCACGCACCGGTTGAGCGTGTCCCTCAAACCAGTAGATTCGTACATGGCTTGCACATGCATACCCAACACCGATCTTATACCAGGCCTAGTTACATACTAGGTGTGGTAGTTATATAATTGTCAGTTTGAGGATTAAAAGTGAAGGGGTGGAGTCTAGTCTGTCAATCAAGATATAATCAATGAGGCCTTTGTATAAGCATGGCCTTCTCCTGAGAATTCTGGGAACTCCTGTATTTGCCTCCTTGGAGACGGGTGACACTGTCTCACTGTGTTCACTTCCTGCGAGACATCCCTGAGAAGCCACGTGGACCTCCCCTGATGCAGCTCTGGAAGCTTGAGAAGCCACATGGAGACCCCTGTCAGCTCTAAGATGCTTACACCACCACTGGATCAGAAGACTTTCTACCCACTGGCCTGTGATGGTCCTGCATTCAGCGTCATTGCCTGTGTTTCATGAGTTGGAAGGGGACTTTATAGATTAGTATCGGGCATATGGGCTAACATCAGACTTTGGGGCTTAGACTGGACTGGGTTGGGATGTTTTCTCAATATTCATCTGCTCTTGTATGTAAACCTCTTTCTTATACACATATGTGTGTCCATGAATTTGTTTCTCTAGTCTCCCTAGACTAACACACTAAGGAAAGGAAGAAACAAAGAGATCTTCTCCTCACCTTCAGGATACCCATAGTCCAGTCTTCCCGTAACCTGCAGCATATTGGTAGGAATTGTTAAGGCAGACACCCAGAGTGAACCTCACACCTCCCGCATAGAGCTGGGACACACAGGTTGTTTAGTCCCTACACGTTGTTTCTGATTCACAGCCAGAGTTGTAAACTGCTGGTGTTTACACAGCGCTGCTGTGTTCGTCAGGGTTGACTACAGAAACAAATTGATTGACACTCATATGTGTGTAAGAGAGGACTTTATATCAAAGAGCAATTATACATTAAGAAAACATCCCAGCCAAGTCCAGGTCAAGTCAAGTCCGATATTACACCATATGTTGATACTAATCCATAAATTCCTCTTTAGACTCATGCAACACAGGCAATGGCACCAAATGCAAGATCACAGGCCAGTGTGTGAAAAATCTTGCGGATCCAGTGGTGGTGGAAGTATCTCAGTGCTGTCATGAGTTGCCACGTGGCTCCTGTAGCTCCATGTGGCTTGTCAACAGGAATGTCTCACAGAGAGAGTGTGTGTGTCCTGCCTGCAGCGAGCTATTTATCTCCAAAAGAGGTCATCAAACTGCAACCTGATTGACAGGCTAAACTCCACCCTCTCGCTCTTAATAGTCTCAAGTTGACAGCCGATTATGCAAGGGCCACAGCTGTCCAGTGTAATTTCCTACCATGATGGTCATGTGCCATACAGCTCTGTTCTGTAGACAGCAGCCGCTAGGCACGTGTGGCTCCTGAGTACTTGAAATATGGCTAGTGACTGAGGAATCAATTATTTTATCTTACTTTGCTGTACTTATTCTTACTGTATTTAAGGTTAAACAGTTATACATGGCAAGGGGCTGCCATATTGGACGGCACATTTTTAAATGGTCCCAAATCATTTGTTTGGTTTTAGTATACTTAAAACCATACGGTTTCGTAGCAGCTGAAGCCTCTGTTCCTTTGGGCTCAAGAGAAAGTGGGAGCTTTGTCCCCTAAGGACACTCTCATCTGAACCGAAGCTGCTCGGGGATAGGACCCGGTGTGGTGGGACCAAGTCCTATCAGCTAACCCCCCCCCCCAGCTCCCCCTACCCCACCCTGGAGCAAAGGCACACCTTAGTACCCGATTTTGCTCAAGGTTTAACACTGGTGGGCAAAAGCAGCCAGGACATGACCTTTGTTGCCCTTGGCCCTTAATCCACTTCTCCCCAGTAAGAGGCAGCCAAGAAACGGAAGGCCAACGCTCCACTAGAAGCAGATTTGGCGTGTCTCACGATGAGATTTTTTACTCCCGGAAAGGGTTTGATGCCGGGAACCCCCAGGGGCAGACACTGTTCCACAGGGTGGCTGAGTCAGAATTGACCCCATGGTGGGCTTTGGTTTTGCCACACTCAAGCCATCCAGGCATCATCCAGACCCCAACCATCCACATGCCTCTACCTACCTCCACCCTGTCACCTCCCAGTGCCAGGCCAGACCCTGGGCTTCCATCTGGTTCCTGCTGCTCCCTGGGGACTCTTCCCATTCTGGCCCCATTGTGCCCACACGGATGGACTCCTAGCTGGCTAGCCCCTCATCCCCACCTGTGGGTTTCTGCATGTTGCTGGGCATTGCACATGCATGTTCAGTGTGTCCTGCTTGTCCTGCTCGACTGTAAGTGCTCAGACTAGCCAAGACTTTTCACTAGCTGACCCAGCTTCCCTCTCCAGCTCTCCCCCAACCAGGCCAACCCAATGCTAATCTATTTGCCATCCCTTGAACATAATGCTGCTCTTCTCTAAGCTCCCTCGGAATGCCCCACTGGAAATGCCACCTCCTCCAGAGAGCCTTCCCTGATCACTTCTACTAGACATCTGCAGAAACAATGGGTCTTCTCTCATTGTCATTACTCCAGGGTTTAATCCAGTGTCCAGCAAGCACGAGGCCCTGAGGTCCTGGCTCTGAGCACAGCACCACTGAAAGCAGAGGGAATGGGCTCTAAATGGGCGAGAGGACTAAGGAGTGCTGGGGGGACAGCAACTAAAATCTTACTACTTCTGAGCACTGGAGCAGCCTGTCCCAGGAGGCGGTCAGACCGTGTGCTCCTCATTTTGGGGGGCTGGGGGTGGGGGGTGTCTCCAAGGTTGCTCAACTTCCAGTTTGAGTCACTTTGACAGGCCCCACCAAAGGGGCGCTCGGCACTGTCCTTCTGCAGGTGTGAGAACCGAGGTAGCTGGAGACACCGTCCACGCACCACCTGCTCCTCCCGGCCTCCGAGTGTCGGACAAACAAGTGGACAGGCCCTCACAGAGACCCTGCGGCGTTGGTAAAGTAATTAAAGGTCTACCGCCCTCCCGCCCAAGAGAATTCTTTGACCAATGAAGGAGAGGGGGGAATCTATACACTTGCCTCCTCCTGGCGATGCAAGAGGGAGAAAAAAGGATCAAGTCAAGAAGGTTTAGAGTTTTTAATGCTTGGACTGAAACGTCACAGACTGGGTTTTCTGGGAAGTTATTGGTCCACCACTGGATGGGCAAGAACTGGCCGGACCCCCAGGCTACAGGTGGAGGCCCAGACCTCCATCGCAAGTCTTCACAGGTGAAGGGCTTCCCATGTAGTGTGTGGTGCAATGCCTTCCCCAGGCTGGCCGGGACAGGAAGAGCCCCTGGTGTGGAGGAAGAACCTGGTGTCGGCAGGATCATTCCACATCCGCGTCCCTCTCTCTCTCTCTAGGTGCGGATCCCAAGGCTCAGAGAGGTCAGCAGACTTGTCAAATGCCACACAGGGCGCAAGTCTCAGGAGCTGGGATGACAACCCAGCTTTCTTGGGGGCACAGCAGGGGAGGGAAGGGAAAGGGGAAATGGAGAGCTAGTAACAACGAGTCCAAGAAGGAAGAAGATGTTCTAAAATCGAAGGTGGCCATGATTGTACAACTCCTCTTGATATGACTGAACTACAAAATTGTATGATGTGTACACTTTATGCCAGTAAAAATTAAAAAGAAAAGAAAATTCAGCCCTTCTAAGTCCAGTGCCTTTCCTACTGGGCCCCGAGGACTTATCCCTCTGACCCAGCCGCAGTCGCCTGCAAGAAATTCACTCTGGACATGCGTGCCCTAAGTTTTGGCCTGGCCCCCGTAAGGAAAGCGGTCGACTGTTTTGTGAGAATGAGTGAGGACCCTGGGAAGCGCTTTCCTCTGAATGTGACCGCTGGCATCCCACACAGCTGACCAGAAGCTCCCACGGTGGTTGGGGCCGCAGAGCCCACCTCCGGCGGGGTCTCGTGGACTCGGTCTTATGAGACAAGAGAACGAGACGAAGGGAAGTGAGGAGAGTGAGAACCAGGATGGGGAACAGGAGTCACGTCCACCACGGAGGGAGGTCAGAAGACAGTTCAATAGATCCCCCAGGCGTCTCCCAGCAGCCAGGGGGCTGAAGAAGGCCTCACTGCTCCAGGCAGATGGGCTGCGGTGCTCTGCTTGCTGAGAGGGACCTCGGGGTCCTGGACGTGTCCTTGGCTCAGGTCTCAGGGCACTTCTTTCACCAGCAGCGGCAGCAGCCCTAGCTCACTCAGCCTCTCCTTGGCCACTGCCTCCCAGCCCCTGTTGGCCTGGGGGCTTCGGGGTGAAGGATGCAGGAGCCCCTCCACCTGGACCTCTGGCATCAGGTCTGCCAGAGCCCGCCGGGCCCGCTGCTCAGCCAGCCGCCCCACACCAACCACCAGCCGCACCCCGAGGAGCCGCACCTGCCGGCCGAGGGCCAAGTCGCAGAGCCCAAGCAGCTGGTGGCGCTGCTTGGCGGGCAGTTCGGCTGGGGTGAGGTTGCGCCCACTGGGAGCCAGGAAGAGCAGAGGGCACAGGTTGTGGACAAAACAGTGGCGGAAGAAGGCCTCGGGCTGTCCACAGAGGTTCCGGAAAAAGCCCCAGAATCGGGCACCGCTCACCTCGGAATGTGGGCACTCCAGTCCCAGCACGGGGCGCTTGGGGTGCTCCTGGGGAGGGGGCAGGACCGGGCCCCCAATGCCCAACCAGTCCCGGACCACATTCACCTCCCCAAAAGGCACCTGTCAGGAGAGGAACGAGAAGGCCAAAGTGGAGACCTGACACCTGGGCCCTTGGCACCCTCCTTGAGGGTCCACCCTGACCCCACCCCCAAAGGCCCGGGTCCTGTGGCTTGCGTCTGTGCATCGGCCTCCTCATTTCCCCTGTGGACAGTGATGCAGTTAATTCTGGCTGCCTCTCCCTCTCCACACATGGGGACCAGGTGCAGAGAGAACCTGGAGGTGTCTGGCCCTGCACAAGGCACCATGGGAACGGAACAGACAGCCAGCTGAGGCAGGAAATGGGCTGGGTGCAAGGAGGCACAAGGGCAAGGCTGACCCTGGTCTCTGGGGGCCCTCCCAGCCCCAAGCCTCAGGCTGCCGTTTCCATCGATCATCATTGATCATCTTTCATCACCCAGTGGGGGGTCAATAAAAGCGATTGAGCCTCCTGCCCTGGAGCTTCTTCCCCTCCCCCACCCTGCCAAGCACCCCCACTGAAGGGCAGTCACTCATCCTGGACCGAAGGGAAAGCAGGGAGGCCCTAGGGCCTGTGGAGACACAGGAGTCAGGTGACCAGAATGTCCTGCATCTCTTCCCCACGCACCCCTGCCAACCAGTCTCCAGAGAGAGCCTCGCAGCCCTGGGCCCTCTCCTGATTCCCCCCATCTCACTCTAGGGGGATGGCAGATCCGGCAAAGTGAGGTATGGATGGGGCTGGGGCTGGCGGAAGGAAGGGCTCTCAGAGGCAATTAGAGAGCTCACAGGGGAACCGGAACCACCATTAATGTGCTTGGTTAACTACCGGCAGAGCGACTCAGAGTGGCTGAGACCACAGGAGCCAGTGTGCGTACCGGCAGGGTATGGGGGCAGGCGGGGGAAGAGAGCCCAGCGAGTCCACGGCATTCACATCCTTCTCCACACCCCCACCTTGGGAGCCTCCCCCTCCACCCACCCCACCCACCAGGGAGGCCAGGCCCTTTACCCCAGTCTGGGCCATGCCAAAGGGTCCCGGGTTCATGCCCAGGAAGAGCACTTCCTTTGGGCCCTGGCAGTAGCGGGTCACGTAGCTGCGATGTGGCTCCCAGGCATACTCCACGGGGTTGTAGATGATGCCCACAGGCTCGGGGAACTGCAGCTGGCTTAGCTCCTCATTAAGTCGACGCTCCTCCTCCAGAAAGCCCTCTGCCAGGCTTTGTGGGCAGGGCTGCAGCTCCAGCTGGGCTCCAGCAGGCTCTTTGAGGGGCTCCAGGGGGAAAGGCTTGGGCAGAGCCATGCCACTGTCACCTGAAAAAGAGAGGGGCAGAACAGGAGGGACTCCATGCTGGCCAGGGCTCAGAGCCCCATTTGCCAAGCTCAGCGGGGACCCTAAGCTGCCAAGGGAGTCAGACCTGAGCTCACTTCGCTGCTTCCAGAATCCAAAGCAAAGGCCCCTCACCTCCCCCTTCCCACAGCCAGTCTCCCAGCTGTGAACCGTTCCATTCCCAGAATGTGCCTTTCCATCCCACTGACTCCCAATCAACCTGTTAACAAGACTCCCCAGGTGAGGGTACACAAGAACCACCTGGAACCCTGGAAGCGTCACCTCACCGGGGAGCTATCAATGATCGGTCAGTGCTCTCAGATCTGGGGGGGGGGGGGTTGCACATTTTCAACAGAGCATCAAAGCACAATGAAAAGTCAGGTCTGAAGCCCTGCGTTGAACCCTTTGCACTCTCTTGCTTCTGTTGGTGAAATCAGCCACTCCACTAACTCGACAACCCACAGTCTGTCCACCCAACACAGCCTAGCTTCTTCCCCACGTTCAAGACTAATCAGTGGTGAGCAGGAGGACCACGGGATTCGGAAGACTCTAATAGACTATGCTACTGGGCAGGGCACGTCACCTCTCTGAAGCCCAGGGTCCCTCCTCCAAATACGAAGGATACTAGCCTCCTCATATAGTGACACATACACAGAATGAGGTGTTGCGTGTGCATTCGGGGGTGTGAGGGGTGTAAGCCATAAAGGGCATTCCCCTCCACCTCCTCACACAGCTCCCACACAAACCCAGTGTCCCAGCCTGGACTAGTCTACTCGCCCTTTCCAAGTGCCTTTCTCATCCCGCCCCCGAAAAGCTGTACATGCCACTGGCACAAGCCGAGCCAGACTCCCCAAACCCAGTCAATAGGGAATGTGATTCCCTCGTGCCACACATCCGTTGTGTCTGTCCTTCCAGATGCAGCTCACACCATCCCTTTGGGAAAGTCTTCCCTCCTCAAGCACTGCGCTCTATGTCACAGCTTCCCAGACACCGTCCACATACAAGGAAGGCTGGTGTGGTACCTGGGACTCTGTCTTAAACAGAGATGAAAAACCACCGTGTGTCACCAGGCTTTGTGGCTTTGGGAATGCGATAGTTGGATTTTATGCCGGCTTGACTTTGTATCCCAGGGGTGGAGGGGATGCAACCCATCAATCAGCTCACAGCCTGATGATGCCTCCCTGGGGGTGTGGCCTTCTTATAAGAGTGAAATTGGGAACTTCTTTCTGCCCCTCTGCCTTCCTGCTTGCCTCCAGAGGTGGCCTACGCAAGCCCACCTTCCTTCCACTGATCATGGATCCACATGACTCCGTGATCTCCCTGCTTCCCATGTCACCTTCCCGCGTCATCAGCCTGCAGCTACGTGAGTCCGAAGAGGGCTCTGGCTAGCACCAGATCCACGGGCTTAATTTGGACTGGGCTGGGGTACTCTCTTGCTATGAAATTATCATATATGATATAAAGCTCTTTCATTCATAGATAGATAGATAGATAGATAGATAGATAGATAGATAGATAGATAGATAGATAGATAGATAGACAGACAGATAGAGTATCGCTGGTTTTGTATCTCTAGACAATGCAGTCTAACAGGGAAGAATGCCCCACATTCTTCAATTTCCCTCAACATCTCCAAGGCCCTAGCTCTTATTACACACTCAGCAAACACCTGCTCAGCTTCAGCCATGCCTTCTTTTCAATCCTGTTCACCAAGGACTTGTTTCCTCACCGACTCCTCGGTTTTTCCCCGGTCCGCTCAAGGTTTGGCTGCCATGTGGTGCACTGCTCACGGCTGACAGACTTCGGCTCAGCCCCTGGTGCATTTCCACTGGATCTGAGCCTCCTATTTGGCAAAGACTGTAATTCCTTCCTCCCTCTCAAACCCGTCCCCAGACCAAGACTGATCTTCTTCCCCCAGATCCATCTTAAGCAGCTGTCAACCGGTTCTCTGCCCCTAGCCTCCTACGGGTTGTGGGTTGTGGAGAACAAAAGGAAAGTGCGGCCAAGCTGGAAATCCTTCCCAGCTCTATTTCTGAGGAAGTCGGACCGGATCTGTCTGGGTGGCTACACAACAGCACCTTGGGAGACTGTACTTTGCAGCATGTCAAGCAGGGGCAACGTTAGCAGAGTGGCTGCTTCAGCTCAGGCTGTCTCTCCAATCCTCAGTTGGGTCTACCTCCTGCACTGAGAGGTTTGTACTGAAGACAGCAAGGCTAGGCCTACATAGGAGGGACCAGGCTGGGCCTTGGTTTCGATGTTCGAGTTTCAAGGCCTCCTTTGATTGAACATGGCACAGGTGAGTCAATCTACTTCTAGTCCTGACTTCCTCTCTAACTAGGAGGTCCTCTTGAGCAAATCACTGAACTCGCCTCTCTGCGAAATGAAAATCACCCAATTTCCACCAGCTGTGTTCTCTCTCTCTCCCTTTGTTTCAATATTTGAGTCCCCTACATGCTAGGCACTGTGACAATCTCTTGGTGAGGAAGAAATCCAAAAGGAATAAAATTTAGGTAAGGCCATGTGACATGTGAGAGGGCAAATACCTAACTGTAATACGGTTGGGATTTCAGCTTTAATATCCAGAAGCCCAAAGGAGAAACCCGGAAATTCTACCTAAAGTCAGAAATTCTATGTAAAGAACCAGAGCTTTGAGAAGGGGTGGGGGGCGGGTTTGGGGGGGGGTATTTCTAAGTTACTGTATCCTATTCCACTACTTGAAGGGTGACCACAATTCCATTTACTTTCAGCAAACAGCTCCCACCACACGGTACAGAAGAGTCAGACTCTGTACAGCTGAAAATCAAAAGTCTATACCCCCCAGTGCCCTAAAGTTCTGAAAGGGTGCCCGCGGGGTGGTTACATGCGGCACAGTGGTAAAAATGTCACAATAGCGCTAGAAAATACACGAGTTTATCCCCTGTAGAATGGACTCAAGTTGGCTGAAGATCTTTACTGCAACATGCTGACAAAGGGGACCGAGTGGAGTCTAGAAGGCAGGGCAAAGGGCCAAAGGCCCACTCCTGTGTGAGCGGCCCAGACCCCTACACAGAGCAGGCCCGATTCTGGATGCCCCACGGCCAGGAGGAGGGGCCCCAGCAGCTCTCAATTCAAAGTATAAACACCGGTGTGGGCAGAAGGCGCACTTAGCCCCATAGGTTCTTGGACATCAAACTCGGGAAGCCAAGGTGGGCTAGAAGGCGCTTTATCCACTCCCGGGGGGGTGGGGGTGGGGCTCTCCAACAAGGATCCGTAGGCACCCAGCAGATCTTCAAACCCCTTACACTAATAACATTCCAATAGAGGACTCAAAAAGGTCATGTCATCCCCTCCTGGCTCCCAGAAGGCCAATTGCTCTGGCATCCCGAAAGCTGGGCGTCCACCCGCGGGCTCGGCGCGGAGAGCCAGGTCTCCCGGGCCGCTCCGGGGGCTCGGTTCTCCCGGAGGCGGAGGGCGCCCCAGTCAGAGCGAGGGGCCCCCGAAACACGACGCCGTGAGCGCGCCCCGCCGGCACAGGACAGGCCAGCCACCCGGGCCCAACTCCCTCACCTGATCGGACTCCCCTTCCGGTTTCCGGTTCCCCGCCCCACCCGGCACCCACCCCCAGGCACCAGGAACAGTGGGAATCGTAGTCCACACGGTTGAGGGCCGGCGATTGGCATCGCGCGGCCACTTCCGGCGGAAATACTCAAATCCCCGGAAGGTGCGCTAAATGAACCCTGAGCGACCCTGGGGGTTGTAGTTCACTCTTGACATCAGGGCTCGATTAAGAAGTGTTGGCAGATGAAAGGCCAGACTCCCGTGAAGCCTTCAGAGATCCGTTTCTTGCCCCCGAGAGTATCGTTCTTCAGAACGTGCAGCGCACACTTTGCCCAAAGGGATGCTGAATCAAAGGACTCCCATCACCTCGACTCCCTCGCCTGTTTAAGAAGCGTTAATAATGCCCAAAGATGCCAGTACGACAGATCTCGCCTCGGCAGTCTCACGAGGGCCCATACTTATAAAGGATGTTCTGTATGGAAGCCCTTGTCATCTCTCTTTTTTTTTTTAAATCATTTTATTAGGGGCTCATACAACTCTTATCACAATCCATACACACATCAATTGTGTAAAGCGCATTTGTACATTCATTGCCCTCATCATTCTCAAAACATTTTCTCTCCACTTAAACCCCTGGCATTAGGTCCTCATTTTTCCCCTTCCTCCCCTTCTCCCCCCTCCCTCATGAGCCCTTGATAGTTTATAAATTGTTATCTTGTGCCCTTGTCATCTCTTTACAGCTCTTTAGCAAAACACTCCACGGCTTCACCGTTGGACTTCGCTTTCACCTCTGCTTTAGTATTTGCTCAGTCCTACAGCCTCCCACTTTTCCAAATCTTTCCTATCAAATACTCTCTCCAGGGACCCTTTTCTGACCAACTGCAACCCTTTGTCCCACCTAACAGTATCCACACTTCCATGCCAATGTCCAAAATTGTCATACTAGTCCTCTCCTTCTCGTACATCAGTATCTGCATTTGTTTCTTGACTGCTAAACCTTCATAAGACTCAAGATCCCCTACAACCAGGTATCTTCTGGCCTCCTTCCTCCCTCGGCTCCTGCACGCACAGCTCAGCACAGCCAGCATTTATGATTACAAATGCAAAATCTCCCCACAGGTGGTGTGAACGAGACCAATGAACTCTCAAACCGGACAAGATAACAAGGAAGCTACGCACTGGTTTTCTGGTCTCTTAAGAACAGACAAAACCGTGCAGGGTGCAGCAAGAGTTGGAGGGAGCTGTCAGCAGGGACTCTCTGACACCGAGGGTGAGACTGTACCTCCCCCACCCTTGCCAAACTCTGGAGACAGAATCAACCATCAAGCTAAGCCCATTATTTCCTGAGCTTTAATTTGTACCAGATTCTCACCCTCTCCCTCTCCACCATGGAAATCTCTCTTTCTCTCTCTCTCTCTCCCCTTCTCCCCAAACTCTTGTATGGTTTTCTCTTTGTCTCTGTACATCTCTTGTCTCCTTCTGTGTACAAATCCTTGTCTCTGTCCTTCCTCTATGGAGGTGAGCTTATGTTGCACGGAGGTGAGAATGTTTGCACAACGGAAAGAATGTAAGAGCTACTGAATCATACAGACAGAAATGATTGAATTGGTGTATGTTCTCTACATCATCTCAATAGAAATAAAATATTTTTAAAGACATGCTTAGCTTCTAGCTTCTAGAAGAGAAAAAAAAATCTGCCATCAAGCATGTCCCCACTCCTAGTGACCCTCTAGAGCAGTGGTTCTCAGCC